CACTACAGGTAGGAACGTGTGTGGGGTCACTCCCTATAGCACTGTTAGATGGGCACACTACAGGTAGGAACGTGTGTGGGGTCACTCCCTACAGCTCTGTTAGATGGGCACACTACAGGTAGGAACGTGTGCGGGGTCACTCCCTACAGCACTGTTAGATGGGCACACTACATTATAGGAACGTGTGTGCGGTCACTCCCTACAGCACTGTTAGATCTGCACACTACATTATAGGAACGTGTGCGGGGTCACTCCCTACAGCACTGTTAGACCGGCACAGTGCAGGCAGGAACGTCTAACAGTGCTGCAGGGAGTGACCCCACATCCATTCCTACCTGCAATGTGCCTGTCTAACAGTGTGTGAGGTCACTCCCTGCAACATCTCAAGGTCCCTAAGGATATGAGTGGAAGGTTGCTTCTTAAAGCATTGTTTTTAAGGTGATATGTTACAGATGTAAACACATGGAAGGTTATTTCCTGCTGTTGTAATGGCTAAATTAAGGAATCTGTAAATCTGTAAACAGCCAAACTTCAAGCTGTGGGTGTTAGGTCAGTGAATGTGAGAACTGCACACAGGGGCCTAGAATGGTGCTGAGAATGCACCAGGAAATTCATCTGATATAGAAATCTGTGAACTACATGGCAAGTAGCAGGGACACAGGTTTATCGACTCTCTTGTATATTTTGATTGTGATCCATGTGGATGTTCAACCCTAAATTTATCAAAATTTATACTATAAAGATGTTCTAAAATAATTGTCACTGAGAATTTCAGTCTAACAGTGTTATTTTTAAAAAATCAGGTTACCAGGGTGGCACCTGTGGCTCAAGGAGTAGGGTGCTGGCCCCATATACCAGGGGTGGCAGGTTCAAGCCCTGCCCTGGTGAAAAACTACCAAAAAAAAAAAAAAATCAGGTTACAAATTACATACTCAACGTGAAACTGGTTTCCTTTATACTTGCAGCGGTAAAGGCATTGAAGAAAATATTCCTTGTTTGAACCTTTTTGTACTTTCCAAACTCTGGTGGTATATTGTTTTATAATCAGATAAGTGCTCTGTTTCCAACATGTTCAATTTTAAGCTGTTTTGTGGAAATTCTGTAACCAAAGCACTTTTTCTGACTTAGACATGTTTTAAGCATGTGACATGGATTTGGGTACTGAACTCTCTTCTTTAAGACCAGAGTCTGGATTACCGGGGAACCGTGAAAATGCTGGGTCCTGTGTGTGCAGCCGTCCATTCCCACCTCCTGTCTCTGACCAAGGTGCAGTTTGAAGTTGGATATACACCATGGCTTCAGTGGACAAGCTTTCCAGAGGTTCGGCTGTTGAACAACCTTTAGGAGTAAAGGACTTTCTGAATACCACTTATCAGCCCTTCTTAGTTGCCAGTCTTCAGACTCTTCTATTTATGGGCCTTCCCTCTCCCTGAAGACATCTCAAGGCTTACAAATGAAGCCTGAGCTGAGGAAGGTGCCCATTTGAACTAAGGAAGCTTTGGATTCAGTATCTAAAAGGTCAGGGTTGGTGAGGTAGCCCTGCATGAGGGGTGCTCACGCTGGGACAGGAGAAAAACTGACCCCCCCAGAGTAAGAGCTCCTGTGGGGGGCCAGCTAGCTGTTCTCAGACAGCTGGGTTATCAGGGAATTGGAGGGGGGTTACGGAGTTTGGGACCCAAATCCAGTCCCGTTTTGGTTTTGTCTTTCGTTCAGCATGACCACAATAACATGTCTAATTCCAAAATAATTCAGATTTCCAAATGTAGAATAGGGCTGTTGCTTCTCCCTTCCTGATAGTGCTTTGTGTGGCGAGATGATGTACCTTGTGTGTATGAAGAACTAAGCTAATCTACATGACAAATAAGACATCAGAAATTTGACTTTTCAATTCATAGTTATGCTAGACTTACTGCAACAAACATTTAAACTTTCAAAGTAGTCCTTAGACAATTTTAGATTCTTCAAGTATTGTTAATATTGTAGAAAATATTTACTTATACCAAAATAAAGTGTAGCAATTAATCTTTAAGTGGTTAGAATTTCAATAAATGATTCTTTGAGAAATATTTCTTGAATGGTAGTTCTAATATGTGTTTTATTCTAAACAGTTATTTGCTGAAATATTTGATGGATTGAAAAGTCTGCAATCTCCTGCCATTTCTCTTGGCTTAATGAAACTGACATCGTGTCTGGAACGAGCCTTGGGTGACGTGAGTGAGACTGCTTTCATTTTTGGTCTTCTATCTGGATGAATGTTAAACTATTTTAGAGTTGCCTTCAGATTTCTTGACTGCATTTTGTGGGGAAAAATTAGTCATTTGGTTTTTAATATTTTTAATGATTATGAATTTAAAACTTGAGCATTGAGTAGTTTCTCCCCTCATTTGTACAAACAGTTGCTTTGTGGATAATATTTTTCCTTAACTGTATTATGAGCCAATTCACGTTATCAAACTTTTGTTTGAATTTCAGGTATTTTTACTGGTTGGGAAGGAATGCCCCTTTCTTTTAAGAGACCTTCTTGCCTCTGAGGAGCTTGCAGAAGTGTTTGGGCAGTCAGTGGTAAGCCGGGCAGTGGGTGACAAGCAGGCTCCTCTAAAGCTTACACGCAAGTGCAGCGTGAGACAGTCAGTATGTGCTGTGCTGGTGCCATGATAGTATCAGTAACTGAGGTGAACCCCCTCCCCCCCCCCGCCACCTGCCTTCCACAGCTATCCCTCTCTCAACACACAGAAGGCCTCACTGTCCCATCTGGAATGAGAGTAGCCACTGGGCTGCTAAAGGAACAGTTTAAAGCATTTTGCTTGTCAATTGTGTATTAATAATTCTAATACTAACTCAATCCAGAATAAAACTTTAACCCTTAAGAGTGATACTATAGTTTTATTCTACAGTATCAGTGTTTTTAACATGTAAAGTTATTCCCTTTGCAACCCTTTAAACTTAGTGGAAAGAAATCAGATGCTAATCATGCAAAATGGCACACTTCTTCAAGCCTCCTGTCTGCACACAGGCAGGAACCCTAAGACCAATAAGTAAGCTTTCAGTGGCAGGTGAGGGTGGTGGAGATGAAGGCTGAGAGCCTTGTGGGCTGTGTTTCCATAAGAAATCTGTCTTCAACAATGCTTTCCCACCACCCATGGATCTGTACCCCTTGTTAGCGTAAAAACTGTGGCGGCATGGAGTGACGATTGCGTGAACTTGTTATGCTGAGCTCTTCAACTTCATTTCTTTGGTCTGTTCTGTTAGTCCAGGCTGAGCTGATAGCCATTTGCCAGCAGCCACCCTGTGCTGCCAGACAGCCTTGCCTGGTCACTGGCACACACATTTCATGGCCCAGGTGGCTCAAGCAAAGAGGGCTAAAAACTAACAGGGCAAAAGGGCTTCCTGAAGCAGCATGGGGCACTGCTGAGGGATGTCCTTAGGTTGGGTTGGGTCCCCTCATTGTGACTCCACCTGCTGGTTCTGGCTCTCCCCTCTGAGGGAAATTCAGAATGCTTCTTTCTCGGTTGCCGCCGTTCAGTAAGTGGAGACGGCTTTTGTTCCATTCCGGAGTCTTTTGGAGGTTTGGCCATTCTTTCTCCTGATGTGGTTTCACGTGCTCTTAGTCTTACCCCTCTGCACTAACTCTGTAGCCTTTGAAACCTTGGTTTCACCTTCCCGGCTTGTTTTTCTCACCTGTTTTAGGGCTTCCTCATCGATTGTGCTGAGGGAGAGAGTTGAATACATGGGAATGTGTTCAGTGAGTGTTGAGCGCTTGATAAATGTCTTATTAATAATATGTACCACAACTGCTATATACCAGCCCAGGCTATTGATTCTGTTATTTCTAAATAAAGTGTCTTGGTATTAATTGATTTATTCAGTAATTCCACACTCACCTATTTGATCTTCTGTGCTTAACTGCATTAGATGAATGTACTAAAAGTCTTCCTCGGCTCTCCACGGGGTCTCAACCTGCGTAATATCTTATGGCATGGATTTGTATCGCCACAAGAAATTCCTCCAAAGTAAGTTGCTAGCAAAGTAACTTATCTGGTAAAGAATTTATCTTGAATTTCATGAAATAGAAAGATGATGAGTTTGGAGACAGAGTTATGAGTCAGGATTTTGAAGATAAAGTGGGATCTTACTAGCACAGAACCAGGGTGGTGACAGGGTTATGGTTCCAGTGATATAAACCCCAGTGGTAGTCCAGAGCCCAACCGGAAGGAAGTGATGCTGGACATGCCAGGGAGGGGAGCCCTCTCAGTGCAATTTCTGAGATGATGTTCCTCCCAGCCGTTCATTGCACAGCTTAATCCCTACATCTAGGGGAATCTTGTGCAGTTTGATGGTGTTCTGCTTTTTTAACTAAACTTTTTGTTAAAGTGAAGCGTGTCATGTGTGAGGAGTTCATTTTCTAACAGACCTCTGTGGTGGTTCCCCAGATACTGTTCAATGATGGTCGTGTTGACAGCAGGACTAGGCCAATTACTGGAGAATTACCTTCAGCAAACAAAGTTGACATTCACACCCCGGTCTTATGTGACTCTTACAAACTTTGAAGATTTGATTGTTTTTCCTGGCAAGTACTACTTTTCACATTTCCACCCTTAATATGTCTTTCAAAATGTTTGCAAAGTCAATAAAATAGCAGTTAGAATCACACTCTTGAGGTGAACTAAAATACTTCTTCTGTGGCTAGCTGGATTTCAAAGTTTCTGGAAGGCTCTATTCCCGTTTGAGGGTGGAGCTCTGCTTGTCCTGCCCTGCTGAGGTGGGGAATCCTTGGGAGTTGCAGGTACATGAGTGTTGGTTTAGAGCTGGCTTATTCCCCAGGGGCATTGACATAATGGATCTGGGCTCTTCTGTAATGTATATTCCCTTTCTCCTCTTGTTCCTTTGTACTCGGTCATTATGCTACAAGTGCCATGGTGTGAAGGGTCCTCTGTACCCCCGAAAGTACATTTTACTTAATGAATATACTCAGGTGGTCAGCCCTCAGCTGACACCTTCTGCAGAGTTTTCACCCAGATTTCTGGAACCATGCAGTTGTCCTAGTCCCCAGTGGTCAGCCCTCAGCCAACACC